CTCTAATACCAATAATAGGAACCTGGAAATAATCCTAGCAAAAGTAGTAACAAGCAACACAGATCTGGATACACAGGGGAAGAAAAGGATGTTTATTGATAATAAGGTAATCCGTAGGCAACCAGGTCGGGACTTTTAGGCAACAAGGCAACTCTCAAATCAAATTAATAGTCTCCCTATTATTAGCTACCCAACTTACTATTTATAGTAGTAGGTCCACACAGGGACTAAAATAGATAAACAGACCCATTAAATGACCCCAGCCCACTTAATTGACCTCCGCCCATTTTATTTCTCCTTTCAAATACCCTATTAAAATACTAAATAGGCAGATTCCTAACAATCTTCTTCAAGGGACTTCTTATACAGGCAATCTCCATTGGCCAAAAGAGCATCACGTTCAGGACAGTCCAGTGTCCAGAGCACTACAACTTTCTGAATCAGGGAGGATTAGAGTAAGTTCTTAATACAAGGAAATCAATGAAGAGATAGGATTGGAGTATAAGAGCAAATTCAATATATTTCAATTTTGATTTGAAGAGTACCTCAAAGTCATGTGTTTAACTCTTTTAGGATGCCGTCACAATTGGTTTCAGCGTAAGCCTGCCGGATCGAATTGCGCTGAGCAGTGCACTCCTGTGACCCCAAATTGATATGATCAACTTCTCTGCGTCTTCCATCCTGCGTGACCAGAACAGTGAGTTTCATCCCGAAATAATAAGAATATTATTGAAAAGGAGGGAAGAGTGGATCTGGTCAATCAGTCAGATATATAGCTTATATGGAAGAGTGGATCTGGTCAATTATATACGTCTTCATTATGATGTCATGTCAGTTTTGTGATATGGTAGCTCCTACTTAGAGTGTGTCATGATTTTGTAATATTTAACATACCTTTGTTCAAATTAATCTCGTGCATTGTTCTAAAAATCCGCCTAGTCGGACCGATTAATCGGCCTAGTCGGCGGCCTAGACGCTAGGCGCCCATCAACCACCCAACTAGTGTCTAGCGAGTTTTAGAATAGTGATCTTGTGTATTTCATACATTTTTATACATTGACAATCAAGGGACATTGTTACTAGTATTTTTCGGCGAGCCAACATTTCAACAAATTTCCATTATCAACATGACATTTGTTTTCTTTCCAAAATTTGCAATAGAGCCAAAGACTTGCTATATTTTGTCTTGGGGATATGATGTAATAAAGTAAAATGACACATTAAACTATTTGCACTTCTTTGTTATGAAATTGCAGTCCTTCCATGCAATTTTCAACGCGATTTTCACTATAGATCATATGGAAACAGTCTCTCTGTGCTTTAGTACAGGGGTAAGGTTGCGTACATCCGAACCCTTACCCCACCGTAGGTGAGAGTCTTTGCGGCACTGGGGTAATGATGATGATGAACATGACAATTGTTTTGGTGTCAGGATGTCACTATGGCTTGACGTTGCTATTTGACTTTATTTTTATAATTTGAGTTAGTGATGACCATGGATCTAAAAATCGGGCTAAGCGCCCGCCTAGGCGCTAGGCGGTGATCGGGCGCCCCGATTTTGGTGTAATCGGTGGAAAAAGTCGGTCGGGGCGCCTAGGCGGGCTAGTCGGTGGCTAGGCGGTCTGTATTAATTTTTTTTCCGATCCAACTTTTTTTTCGTTTCGACTTAAAACAGCGTTCAATCAATAATTATTCTATTCCTATATAATTTAGTTTCATATTACGATGATAAAAAATAATTTTTATATATTTATAATTTTTTTAGGATGTATATGTACATTTTTAGACACTAAAAATATAAATCTCTTCATTTATTTATTAATTATTTTATTATTTATAAAATTTCTACAAAAACCATAATATCTAATGATTATATGAGCTATTCCTATTGTCAAAATATTATAAAATTATTGGTAATATATTTAAAATTCCTTGGAAATTAAAATAAAACAAAGATATAAAGGAAAATACCTAGGCGCCCTAGTCGGCGCCTAGGCGGGCTAGGCGCTAGGTGGCCAGTCACCGCCCGACTAGCGCCTAGCGCCTTTTAGAACATTGGTGATGACATTATGACTTGACAATACTAACCTCATCCCATTAGACCCATTTTATGTGTCTTATTTTTTTGGCACAATTATTAATGAAGTGTAGTAATTGAGAATTGAGTATGCTGTGGACCACATATTTCTTTCCAAAAATGTAAACATAGCATTTATACTGGGACAATCAAAAAAAGAAAGTAAGATAGATATAATGAGACGGAGAGAACAATTGTTAGGATGTTTTTACTTGGACTGTAATTTGCTGGTCTGGTCTGGTCTGGTCTGGTCTGGTCTGAACTGGTCTGAACTGGTCTGGTAAGGTCTGGTTTCTTTGTATTTTTATAACTATCCAAGTCTGGTCTGGTCTGGTCTGGTCTGGTCTGAACTGGTCTGGACTGGTCTGGTCTGGGACAAATTACAGTCCAACTAAAAACATCGTTAATGTCTGCATGATGATACAAGAGGACATTCTTACCAAGTTATGGGATTAAAAGTACATGAGTGTTTTCAAATGAGGACAATTTTGCATTCAATCTCACTTTTACTCTGGCTGACAAAAAAAATTCAAGAAATTACTTTTACACTTTCGACATATTTTAATCCTATTCAGATCATTTTCTCTTGACTAATTTATGTGAAAATAATGAAGGAAGCATATCAATCTCTATCTCGATCTGTAATTTACACAAGATGTATTGCTGATATTACACACATGAAGTCACGAACATATAATTTTGAAGCTTAACACAGTACAGAAATCACTTGCGAATATATAACTAAGCAATTAAAGCAAAACATTATAATACTAGGAGTATGTGTTAGGGGGAGAAATGTATAAATGGTACCTTAACTATTGATAATGTTGCATTTTGGTACCTTAACTCTTAAATGAATCAAAGCGGTACGTTAACTATAGATAAATGCTTCGAATTGAGATTTTATTCAAATTTTTGACCAAAAATCCTTCATGGTGATCAACATTTCTTGTCAAGAGTCATCGTATAGTGACCATATGGACAAAAATAAGATGAAATAGACTTTACGCATAGAGTTCTGGCCGTCACGTGTGACTTTTTGGTTGGAAATCTGAATAAAATATCAATTCGAAACATTTATATATAGTTAAGATACCGTTTTGATTCATTTATGCATTTCGATCATGTGTTAGGTGTTTATTGCTAGCCGCTTGTTGACTTACTTAGCTCTAACAGCGGACACATCCCTCCTTTCCGATCCACCAGTAGCTTTTGAACAGTTGACGGTAGTTCCAGCTCAGTTTGAGGATACTTACATTTGAGGTTATTGTAGGAGGAGTCAACATACACCAATTTCTCTATCAAACTCTTAAGATGGGACATCTCCCGTGAGAGAGTTGTCAGTTGTGGCTCAAGTTCAAGGAGGTTAAGTTAGGAAACCTTCCCAGAGATGGTCAGATGGGGGTATTGCTCCAGTGAATTTATTGTACTACCTCTATTCCTTAAAACTTTGTTATGTTTGACGACAATTAATAAAGTAAAAACTGTGTAATAGAGATTTGTACAAGGGAGAGAGAATTAAACAGAACCACAAATTCATTACTTAAAAGGGAAAGTGGCAAAGTTAGTGGGACATCCAAGAAAGGAAAGTTGACAAGTTTTAAGGGACAGAGGGAGTACGACAAATCCAAATAGTGTAAAGCCCCGGTAGATTCGGGTCAGGCAAGTTGAGGAAGTTCTCCCTGAAGTTGGTTATGGCTCATGTTCAAATGCACTAAGTTGGGATAGTCCGGATAGACTTTCCTAAACGAGCCAGAGGGATTTCCGGTGAGCTAAATGTTGTCCAAGCTTTAAGCCCGAGCAGTTTCGCAAGATTTGTGGGATCCGCCCGGAGAGATTGTTGATGCTCAGACCGAGTAACTCAATTTTCCCACCTTTGCAAATAGTTTTTGGTATAGGGCCATGGAAGTGGTTGGTACGGTATCCAACCGAAACATGGTAAGTTTGGGCATTGAACCCAACACATCAGGTGGAATGGTTTCAGATAAATTGTTTACCCGGAGATGCAAATTTCCAACTTCCTCAAATTGACCAAGGAAGGAGGGATTTTTTCGGTGAGCTCATTAAAACTAAATTCAAAATTCTCGAGGTTCTTTAGGTTGTTTAGTTCTATATATAATGCCTTTTAGTTGTTTGTAAAAATGTCTCAAAGAGATTTTGTATCTTAAAATTTTGTTCAACTTCATATATTTATGTATGCATGTGAATAATTAAGGTCATATTAGCTTAATTATGAGATTCTTTTATTTTTATTTCATGGAGTGCATTTGGTCATGGTAATGAATTCTATGACTTTGTACTTATCTTTAAATCGTAGCTTTGTTTGTAGGGATTCGTTCTTCATTACTGCTTTGATCTTACAATTTTTCAAACTTACAGAGTATTATTATTTAAAAAATTAGTTTTTTCAATATTTCACTTTTCTGATTAAGTGATTTAATGTTTGGCCAAATATATTTTAGTACGAAATTTTGTGATTTCAATATTTTGTGTACGAAATTCCTTATAATATGAAAATGATAATAAAATATTTTTCTATTAAAATTATATCTTTAATTGTAGTTAAACTAAAAACATACCACGTACTCCCTCCGTCCCAAAATGGTTGACCAAATTTCCTTTTTTGGTCGCCCCAAAAGGTTGGTCATTTCCATTTAAAGTAAGGAATATGAGGTTAAAGTTAATTCTCTCTCCTCTGCACAAATTTCAACCACACAGTTTTTACTTTATTAATATCATGCAAGTCAACATTGGCCAACGATTTTGGGACACAGAAGGAGTATTAATTATTTTTTATCAAAAGTTTAAGATGCCGAAAAATGTCCAAGATTGCAAAAATTTATTGGAAGAAAATATAATTAAAAGAGTCATAACAAGACTATAGTACGACACCAGCATATGCAAAAGAAAAGACTGATTTGCACAATAATGAAATATATGTAGTATAAAACACACTCCAATGCCAATTTCTGATCTTGACTTGAGAGAAAACAGTGAATGAGCCATATCTGTATATATAGCCCAAGTTATTGCCCAAATTAAAAGAAAAAGATGGCGTACACGACATGAAGTACTGCGAATATTATGGTGCACACTGCACATAATATAAAAACTTAGCACATAAGATCGATCACATACAAATGTAATAATTAAGCAAAATATAGTAATATTGTTCGTTGTACGTTGGCCAGCTTTATAATTATTAGTTATAACAAGAGTTGCAACCCTTCGTATTGTTACCGCCACAAGTATGGATGCTTTTATCATCATTAAGCCCACACAAACATTTATTATTTCCCGTGAGCGTGGCATTCCTGAAAGCTGCCGTGTTCGGAATCTCACATGTTAGGTTGTTGTACGAGAAGTCAACCCGAAACCAATTCAAAATATTTCCGAAGGAAGATGGGATTTTTCCATTGAGAGAGTTGTGGCTCATGTTCAGGGAGGTCAGGTTCGGTAAATTTCCCAGAGATGAGGGTATTTCTCCGGTGAAGTTATTGTATGACAAATCCAAAACGCTTAAAGACTTGAAAGATTCCGGGTGGGGAAGCTGAGGAAGTTCTCCATTAAGTAGGTTGTGGCTCACGTTGAAATACGTCAAGTTGGTATAGATGCCAAACAAGCCAGAGAGATTTCCTGTGAGCCGATTGTTGTCCAAACGAAAACGGAATAAGCTCGAACAGTTTTGCAAGCTGGTTGGAATAGGCCCTGAGAGTTTGTTGTTACTCAACGAGAGATACTCAATTTTCCCACCATTGCAAATGGTATCTGGTATTGTTCCACTGAATTGGTTGGTATCCAATTCAAGAGTGGTCAGTTTTTGCAGTGCACCAAAGACTTCACGTGGAATGGGACCGGAAAGATAGTTAACCCGGAGAAACAGAACTTCCAAATTCTTTAGTTTGGCAAAGGAAGTTGGGATTTCGCCGGTGAGCTGATTGTTGCTCACTGCAAGATCCTTGAGGTTCGTTAGATTTCCAAACTCTAGTGGTATGGCGCCGCTCAGGTTGTTGTCATAAAGGTGGAGGAGGGAGAGGTTCTCGAGTTGACCCAACGAAGATGGGATTGGACCGGTCAAATTATTCCCGAACAAGCTGAGTTCCAAGAGTGAATTTAGTCGTCCTAACGAAGATGGGATTTGACCGTTCAAATTATTGTCGAACATATACAGCACCTGTAGTTGTGAGAGGTTTCCGAGCTCCGGGGGGATGGGCCCCTCTAGCTTGTTAGTGTCCATGTCAAGAAGAGAAAGATTGGCAAGTTTGCCGAGCTCAGGAGGAATAGCTCCAGAAAGAGAGTTTTCATAGAGATACAAAGAGTTCAAGTTCTTCAACTTGCCAAGCGTAGCAGGTGTTGCTCCGTCTAGGTTATTAAGATACAAAGCAAGCTCAACAAGAGAAGTCAAGTTGCCGATTTCATCTGGAATCTGACCACTTAAAGAATTTTCAAAGAGATGAAGGGTTTGAAGTCTGTTTAAAAGGCCAATTTGAGGAGGGATTGTTCCACTCAAATGATTGATTGACATGTCAAGATAGATGAGTTTGGACAGGTTGCCAATTTGGGGCGGAATGTTTCCTGAGAAGTGATTTAAACTGATTTCGAAGTATTCGAGATTTGGGAGGGATTCAAAGGGGAAGCTCTTGAGAGTACCTTTGATTCCTGACCCCGACAAGTTCAACCTGTTGACACGTCCATTAACACATTGAATTCCAAACCAGTTATCTTCGCAGGGGCGGCTACCATTTTGCGAAGGTTTCCATGAAACTAGGAGTGAGATGTTATTGTTGTTCTGGAACGTAGACTTCCATGTCAGCAGGCCGTGGCCTTCATCATTTGAAGACGCAGCCGAAGAAGAAATGCTCACAGAAAATAAGAGAAGAAACACCAAGCAAGAAAAGAGAGTTTGAGGCCTTGGGGGTCTGCTCCCAATTAAGAGATTCATTTGTGTGCACGCTAAAAAAAGGGTTTAATGTTTAATTTGGATCCTCTGCATTCTGAAATCAATCTACCCGTTATTTACTTATAGACGCACCAGCAATAACCTCGGTCAAGATGTTCACGTTAAATCTATAGAAATTTTGGTCAGTGATCCTACTATGCCTATTTAGCTTTTTGACTAGTTTGTACGATTTATAAAAAGATTATGAGGTTTATTTTGTGGTTTATTACCCAGCTAAAATAACAAAACAACGTCACTAACTTATACTAGTATGATAGTACATTGCTCCGTATGAACTAATGACATACTTCGTATTTATAATTAAAATAAGGAAAATTTGAAAATAATAATCTCAACTATTACCGGTCTGTTATTAATAATCCCAACTATTGATTATTTCTGGGTGGTCTCATTATAAGGACCATTTTCCAAAAATAGTCTCTAACCTGCTACAACCTGGTATATCAGGTCCAATTTAAATGTGAACTATGCATAAGCTATAAATAATCCCAACTGAGTTGATCTTCTTTTATTAATCCCAATTATCAATTCTCAATTTTAGAAAAATATAAAAACATTTTTATAAATATAAAAACATTAATACACAAATTTTCATGACCGAAACCGGCCAGTCCCGATCGATATCAACGGTTAGCTTGACGAATGCTCTTCTCATTTCCCTATTGGTTGACAACTCAAAGACTCTTTTAAAAGTTTTCACTTTAAAAGATCGAATCTGCCCGGCCGTCAACCGGACCGGACACGTACCGCCAGGATGTGGATCGGACCAAACAGGTACCGTCGGGTCTTCGATTGGACTGGACAAGGACCGTCGAGTCATGGATCGGACCAGACAGGGGCCGCCGGATCATGGACTAGACCGGACAAAGATCGTCGGGTCGTCGAACGGATCGGATTAGGATTGCTCCACCGTCGACCGGAACCGAACAAGAACCGTCGAGTCGATGACCGGACCGGACCACCTGGTCGTTGATCGGACCAGATAGGGACCGTCGGGTCGTTGACCGGACCGGACTGGAACTGTTACCGGAGCAGGACTGGATCCACCACTAGGCGAAAATATGCAAATTCAGAGCAGCGGCACTTCAGCATACGTGTCATAAGTCCATTTTTGTACTTATTTTTCTTATCAAATTGACCGGAAACGAAAAAAAGACCGAAGGCTGTCGACACCGGACGGAGGGCGGCCGCCCTTAGTGGCCACCTACGGCACAAAGTGACTGAACCAACGACCGGACTGTGAGAATTGATGGCAGGCGGCCAGACAGGATTGGCAGGCAGCCGCCTGCCGTGACCGTTTGCGGCGAAGCGACGCGCGCACGATCGTCTGCCGGCGATGCGACGAAAGGCTGCCGGATGAGGATGAAGGGCGGCCGCCGATTTGGAGGCCTTCGAGATTTTTTGTGCTATAAATACCAGACTTTTTCCACAACTCAACCGCACCATTTTCAAGCCCAAATCAGATAAAAAGAGACCTCGAGGGCGAGGTCCAGCTCAAGTGTGAGGAGGTTGCGTTTTACACTCAAAAGTTAAAACTTGTTTTAGAACAATCCTTTTACTATTTTTCAATTTGTTATCAATCACAAACGGAGTAATAGCTTAGAGAATCACCCTTATTATAAACTCTCATATTTTGGTAAAAAAGCTCTCATATTTTCATTTATTATCATTATCATAGTCATACACGGAGTATTTGTCATTGTATCATTATAATTAAAGTCATTTAATTTTAAGAATATAAATACACACTTAGTTCCTAGAACTTTATAAATCATTTAATATGTTTGGTGCTTAATTATATTACATTTCACATGGTTAAAGAATTATTGCATACCAGTCTTACATGACACATAGTCTAATCTAAAATGTAGGTTGGTAATTAACTAAATCAACTCAAAAGTCGTGTTCTCTCTAGAAGCCTAGAAGGGCTAAATATATACCACAAAATGAGGAGAAATGTATATGTTTCTAGATGTCTATTAATCTCCTCTAAATATCCCCAGGGCATCACACTGGCCATTTGTCTATGACATATATTAGATCAAATAAAACAAGTGTGTATGTATATATATATGTATACATGCATATATAGTTTGAATTAAATAAAAAATATTAATCCAAAATACAATGGCATTTCTTTAACTATCAAGAAAATTTAAAATATGTTGATCGGTGTATACAAAAAAGGCTTCTAATATGTAATGTGTAAAAGATTGTCTATAAAGATTATAAAGATTTAGTATTTCAAAGCATCCGTTAAAACAAGTAAAAAGAATTTATAACATGGCTTGTATAACTATGGATAATTGTAATTTTCAAGCATGCCTAAGTTATAATTGCGGCCGTAGTCTAGGTTTTTCCTAGTTGTGCTTTCCGGCGGGACTCCGATCTTCTTGTCCGGCTGTTTATCTTGTCACGATTATGAGCACAATTAGTTGGAATTGCAGGGAATTGGGCAATCCAGCAACAACTCAGGGAGTGACAGATATTGTGCAAAGCCATCGCCCCTCCATATTCTTGATGGAAACGAAAGTTCGATGCCAGAGAGCCAAGCAGGTGCTTCGTTCGTAGAGCCGTAGAGGTACTTTCACAGCTGCGGCATGGATAGCGAGCGTTAGAGCGGAGGGCTAGTCCTTGGCTGGAGCGATGATTCGGAGGTCACGGTGAACGATGTGCAAGCCACTTACATCGATTGTACTGTTAAGCTATTGCTGGAATCGTGGGCACTATTACGCGGATTGGCAGATCGTAACCAAGGGCCATGGATTGTCATTGGGAATATCAACGATATCATCTATGAATCGGAGAAGAAATTAAAGGGCACATCCCCCATCTGAATTTGAGGTTGCGAGGTAGTGGACTACGGGATTTCCCGTTCATGGGATACCAATGGACATGCGAACGTGGGAAAGGAACGGTGCATTGATTTGAGGAAAAACTTGACTGCATTTTGTTTAATGACGAATGGTGGAACAGGTTTATGGTTGCCCAAGTTGCTTCGGTGGAAGCCCCGGTGATCGACCATATGGCCCTATGGATCAAGGTCATGCCTATAGTTCATGGCCGAAGGAAGAAGAATTTTAAATTTGAAAATAACTGGCTAAAGGAAGAAGAATGCAGGACAATTGTCTCGAGCAGTTGGGGAGCGGGAATCCATCTCTCGGTGACTGAGAAAATTCATTTTTTGTGGCAAGAAGTTGTTACGATGAGATGCATGCAAAAAAGAGGTTTTCGAATTCAAGCGTGTAAACGTAGACTTGCTTGCTCAGAGGTAGAGACACAGCAGGCGAAGGAGTTTTGGCTCAAGTAAGGGGATATTAATTCCCGATTTTTCCATAATGCATGCGGTTAAACAGAGAAGGAGACATAACAAGATTTTTCCATATTATTGATAAACAGAGAAGGTTACTGCACATTCTGCGCATATATAAAGTGCAGTAAGTTTCAAGAATTTATTTGACTGCCTTCCCGGTCGAATTTTGAGCTAAAATTTTGTATGGACGAACTAGACTTGATGAGAAACATGCTAAAAAATTTTCATCTAAAAATTCCACCGGGAACCGCCCCAAACAGTGAAGTTCGGACGGCTGCTCCCGTCCCTCCGGCTGGACCTGAGCAGTCCTCTCTCTCTCTCTCTCTCTCTCTCTCTCTATATATATATATATATATATATATATATTTGAATAATTGGGAATGAATTAATTATTTCTATAGTTTTTTCACTATTGATAATCGATGATAATTTTGGTATTATCTAACATTATGTCCCCTTTAGGGTTGGTTTGCAACTACTTTTAAAAAGCACTTCTCAGTTTTTGGCTTTAAAAAAACACTTATTTTCCCAAAACTACAACTTTTATTTTTCTCGGCTTCCGCGTCAAAAGTGCTTTTACTTTTTCTATTACAAAAAAAGCACTTATTTTACCAAACACTACCGACTTTACTTTTCAAAATCACTTTTTTCTCAAACACTATCAACTTTTATTTAATCACTTCTCTCCATTTTATTAAAAAAAACAATTTTTTAAAAGTAGAAGTTGTTGCAAACAGACCCTTAATCTATTGTATATTTTTCTCATCATTGGTAGTATACTTTCAAGCACTTTATCGATAACAATTTTTAATATAGCTAACTAATAAGTCCGTATCTTGACACGTATTTGATGCGTGTTGAGATCGGCTTTTGATGATTTTCCTAGTTTTAAGGTGTTACAAGTCTCAATTTTAGTTCAAGTTATGTTTACTGGGCGTTGGTTCAAGTTTTGTGTTGTTTGTAGTCAAAATCAGGGACTTTGAGCCCGCCACCGGCACTTGAGGAACAATCGGGATGATTTGAGAAGCATTTGAGAATGATTTGATAGCTTTGGAGGTCACCAGAAGATTCACGATGAAGATTTGAAGGAAAAAGAGCTCTAGGATTGGCTACGGGGTCAAAAGAAGATGAATGAAGCTTGAAAACGACGATCAGGATGACCTTCTGTCAATCGTTAAAGCATATCTCTTTGTAGAAACATCCAATGTACACGATTCAAGTTCCATAGGAAATCCAACTTTAAGGGATACAAACCATATGAAGACACCTTTGCGAGAATCTGAGAGGCAGAAGGTGAAAACAGACGATGAAGTCAGATAATCTCTGCTGCGATTTCAAAAAGACACCTTCCACCGTTTTAATCATATCTCTTGATTGGATGATTCAAATCACATTCAACAAATTGGGGTGGATAGAGGACTTAATTATCTACAACTTTCATGAAGGAAGTTGTGTCAAATTCGGAAGTTAAGTAGGCCCGATCGTGCCCTCAAAGTCAGACACGATCGTGCCTGAAGAGAAAAGCACCGCGGAGTTACTGCCAGCCAGGCACGATCGTGCCTGGAGGGAGGCACGCTCGTGCCTGCCCAAAATGCGCGTTTTTGCTCCGGAGGCACGATCGAAGGCACGATCGTGCCTGGCATCGTGTCTAGCTCCGAAAATCCTAATTCAGCTCAAATTTCACCCGATTTTTCTATTTAAACAGCCTGTAAACCCCCGTTATGAGGGGGGGGGGGCTTAGAGAGAGTGCCTAGCACGAATTTTAGAGGGCTTTTCAGCCTTGTTCATCAATCTTTTGGGATCCTTTGTAAGTTCCACCTTTTTAATTAATGACAATTAATTCTTTTTATTCCAATTCTATTGATTCTTCAATTATGAATTGTGAATAGTTTTAATTAGGGATTTGGGAT